TAGTAGCAGTAGTAGTACTTAGTAGTAGTGGTAGTAGTAGTGGTAGTAGTAGTGGTAGTAGTAGTCGTCGTCGTCGTCGTGGTAGTCGTAGTGTTTAATAGTAATGAAGGATCTAGTCAGAATTAATTTTCATCATGAAGGCTTCCTTCATGTCGGGTGGGGGTGGTGGTGGGTGTTGCCGTGGCGCTAGCAATCTTAAATCGGCCAGCACGACGTATCGACCACCGAGGCGCTTGGTGCGCAAACAGCAGTCTCTCCGTCATGATTTACGAGAAGATTCGGATCCATCCCTAATATAAATAAATAAATAAGTAAATAAATAAATAAATATATATATATATATATATAGACAGAGAGAGAGAGAGAGACAGAGAGAGTTTTCGTAGTACATATATATATATATATAGAGAGAGAGAGGTAGACATGCATACACGTACCGCAATGTCATGTGCTAAAATGCCGCCTCCTCATTGTCACCATAGCATATGTTACGTAGCCCTATACCTTAAACCTGCGGGGCTCTCTGTTTGGCCGGTACTATACTTACAAGCAGAAGTCAGCCAAGGTACCCTAAACCCTAAACCCTTGCAGGTTCATGGGTAGTTATAAGCGGGTTTATAACTTCCCCAAAAAGGCCTATAATTATGGTTACCCCAACATATAACTCCACTCATAACTTGCCATGAACTTTCAAGTAAGGTGTGAGAATGGTTTTACGAGGGTCTAAACCCTAAGCCCTAAGCCCTATACCCTAAACCCGAAACCCTAAACCCTAACCGTGTCATATCCTCTAGTACAGGCTCCAGGTGACAGAGGAAGCGGGGTTTAAATTAGAGCCTTGCTGAGTGTATAACGGCAGTAAGTGTGTGTCGGTTTAGGGTTTAGGGTTTAGGGTTTAGGAGTTTGGGTTTCCTACGAGCCACACAAAACCCTGTATATTTTAATTACTGTAATGCTTGGACCCAGCAGTGATGCACCATACCTGCAGACTCTGCATGCATTCGTTCTCGTCGGAAAGAAGCAGGATGCATTTAAGAGCTTCCGAAGATAATCTGACACTTGACTAAGTCCGAACATGTCTCTTGCAGCTGCATGATTGCGCTTTTGTGGTGGCCCTGTTGTTTCAGGCACGTCTGCAGAGATTCGTCCAAGGCGCATGCAGGTTTCTCTAATCGTTCCTGTGCTCGTTTCCCATACGCTTTGCACTGCTGCCATCATGACGGAGCGACTGGGAGCCATGGCCATCGCCGCGGCCGGTGCTTACGCCATGACCTCTGGGTTTGTAGCTTACTTATCCAATACTAAACCTTTATAAACTTTTTGGGTTCTTATAGTTTTAGAAGCATCTGAAAGCTTGACCTTTTATTTCCCTGGCTTATTGGGGAAGTGAGGTAGTGAGCCAGCCGGCCGCACAGCAGCCAAGCGAGGTGCACCTGAGGGGTGCACAGGCGCAGCCCAACTCCGGCGGGGCGGGCTTCAGCTCCACCGTGCTCAACTTGGCGGGGGCTGGCACCGTGGTGGCCGGCTTGGCCGTGAGCCAGCGCAAGCGCACGGCCCTCCGTGCTGAGAAGTTCGCAGGTGGCCTGGTGGGCAGCGCTGGTGGCTTCGGCGAGTACCAGTTCGACCCCATTGGCTTGGCGGAGCGCTACCCCACCCTGCTCCCTTGGTTCCGTGAGTCCGAGCTGAAGCACGGGCGTGTGGCGATGCTTGCCTTCCTCGGTCTCATCGTCCCCGATGTTTTCCGCTTGCCGATTGATGCCGCCTCCGACACTTCCATCGATGTCATCGCTGCCCACAACAAGCTCATCGGTCCCGGCCTGGGCGAGGGACTCATGTGGAACCTGATGGTTGTCGTCGGCGCCGTCGAGTCCGTCCGCTTCAAGCAGATCGGCCTTGGATTTGAGAACTTGACGCTCGAGAACGCCGGAGATCTCGGTTTGCGTGGCTTGGCACCGGGCACCGAGGAGGGCATGAAGCTGGTAAGAACCCAGGAGCTCAAGAACGGACGTCTGGCGATGCTCGCAGTGGGTGGCTGCCTCACTCAGGCCGTGGCCTTCGACGTCCACCACTTCCCCTTCCTGAAGTGAGATGAGCCCAGTCCTGTCTTCCTCTTCCTGCAGACTTTTTGAGATTTTGCCCGTAGGCACCCTTTGGAACATTCTTTGTGGGCCGGGCCGAAAAAGCATGACTGCTCCAGAGGCGACTTCGCCTTCGCTTGACCACTCCACCCGTGCAGCCCTAGCGTCTCGAGTTGTGTCCTGCGCCAGGTTCCTTCTTGGCTTGCTCGGACCGGCAACTTGGCAAGAATTTGTGAACATGGGCGTTCTTGTTGATTGGAACAAGGTTTCCTAGAGTTCTGTTAAAGAACTAGTAGGAAACTGTTTATGAAGGCTCCTATGTCAGATGTCAAGCCAGCACAGTTGTGCCGTATGGCACAACAATTATGCTTTCTCCTGCTCCGCGTGGCGATGTGGCTCCTATCTCTTAGCAGCCACTAGCTACAGCGATAACAGATTTTATTGCTGCTGATAACCACTGCTCATATTACTTGGTTATTGTGATCCGGGTGTCACTGGCTGCGAAAATGTTCGTAGAATAAGCTCTCCATTAATGTTATGATGAAGATCATGCAGGTGGTGATGACGAGATGGGTCAATATGACAGTGACCATTTTTTATTTCGGAGCTTTCCCGGTCAGCATCATTCGTGTTAGCGCATGCATTGTCTTTGCGATGCAGTATGGAGAAGAACAGATGTCGGCTGCTTACGTGACTATCACAGGCGTTCCCCTAAACCCCCAAACCCCAAACCCCAAACCCCAAACCCTAAACCCTGAACCCCAAACCCTAAACCCTAAACCCTAAACCCCTAAACAGTATTGCTGATGCCTCTGATGGAAATATCCCAGACCAAGAGCCGATCCGTCAGGTTTAGGGTTTTGGGTTTTGGGTTTTGGTTTAGGGGTTTAGGGTTTTGGTTTAGGCTTTAGGTTTCAGGGTTTAGGGTTTTGGTTTAGGGTTTAGGGTTTAGGGTCTAGGGTTGCAAACAGCAGTTAGGGTTATTCTGCTTATTGTTGCTCGCATCGTCATTGCCAGTTCCAGCATGGTTGTTATTGTTGCTACGTCGTTGGTAGTTCTGAATACGGAGAATATCTCGCAACCTTTCACTTTGGAAACTGTCGTTGAAATACAAGAAAATCACATGGTTTCTGCAAGTATCATTTCTGCGTGCCTTGTCTCACTTTGGCCCGGACTACAACCAAGGGGCTGGCTTCATTCTTGTCCGTCCGACTAGGAGCTTCTCTGATCGTGGCGAAATTGTTTTTGGTGCATCTCGTAGTTCCTTGTTTCCACTAGTTGGCCAGCGTCGTGGCGAACGGTGAGGTATGGTTATCCCTAAACGGCCCTAAACCCTACATCCTAAAAACCCTAAA